TCAAAATAATAATATAGTGACATTCTACCATCCCAATAATATGTTATAATTGAGATTGACTATTTTTATTTACAGTTTATTTTTAAAAATTAAAAATATTTATTCATTTGATTATATATTATAATTTTAGATTGATCTAACCACTCATAACCACTATTATCATTAAAATTATTAAACTCTCAACACACATAAACTTTATATTATTATTGTAATTAAAATAGACAAATTCTATTATGTAAGTCACTTGGACACCGTAAAAATCCCACCTAATGAAAAAAACCAAACCAAAAACACCATCATACCAAACATAGAGTTAGTTCTTTTGGATTCGGTTTAGAGTTTTAAGACTTGCAAATACATGCCATAAAAGGAATATTATTAGGAAATACTATAAAAGTAACCACATAAAAGTTGTAAAGAATTAATTTCAGAATAATGTGGTCAAAATTACCTTTCTGAAAATAACCTCAATTATGCTCAAATCAATATAAATCAATCAAATTTCACGGAGGTTTAAAAAAAACAGAAAAAAAAAAATGAAAAAAGAGAACCAGCAAACATTGGGGGCATTATGGTAATTTGGAATCAGATCTACATGACACAAGAGCATGCTACACGCGCGCTGCTTCGTCCAACGCGCGCCCTCGCAGTTCGTCTTCGTCTTCGAAGCAGAGAGTGTAGGAAACAAGAAAAGGCGAAATCCCAGGCCAGATTAGGGTTAGGGTTATCCCTAATCCAGGTGAACCTTTCTTCTCTTGATTCTGCGGCAGAAGATCAAAGATGGGCGCGAATTCATCACCAAATGATTCAACCTCCGACCTCGACGAGCAGATCTCGCAGCTTATGCAGTGCAAGCCACTGTCGGAGCAGCAGGTGCATGTTTATTCTTTCGACTATTTTGATCTGTTTGCATGCAGGGAAATCTCGGGAAAATTTTGGGGGGATTACCTGAATAATGATTTTCTCTGGGGTTCATATGTGCAGTAGCGAAATGAATATCAGGCTGCATGAAAGCTATGTTAAAAAATTTGATTGCTGAAATAAAAAAATCAATGTCAGGTGAATTGGGCTGAATTGTTATTTGTTTAGAAACGAGACATTTGGATCCTGGGAACTAATTCGTGTTTATTGTTGTGTAAAAAAGTGAAATTTATATGTTCATTTTGAGTTTTTGTATGATTTCAGACTTCCTTTGAATACGATATCTAAATCACATGTTTGTTTTGATTCCTGTGTGTTTCTTTCAATTTCAATGATGCCTTAAGGATTACACAAATTAGAGATTTATGTCTTGAAATGATGCTGCTTTTGTTTGGCACATTCAGAGTGAAGTTGATGATTTTGGGTTAATTCTAACCAATGGAGGGGAAAATATATGGTGTAGTTGGTGAAGTGTTGATTGTCTTCCTTTTTGATGTGCATTCTTTGTGTTTTGTATTCTTTCTAAACTGGAGATTTCAGAATCATTATTTTTGGTGTGAGAGGTTAGCATTCTGTTTAAAAGCCCACAAAAAGAATATAAACACGTATACGTACCTGCAATTATCAGAACGTTGTGTATTTATGCTCTGCCATTGCCTTGTTTTCTTCTTTTTGAAATGTGGTGTCAATCCATTGACTGGAGCCTGATCTTTTACACCTTGGAAACCTTCTTCTTTTTTTTTTTTTCATTTTTGTTTCTCAATTTTGTTGCAATCAAGATACTAATGGCAGTTTTTATTGCATTCTGTTTCTTTTACCGTGCTGTAGGTTAGAGCAGTATGTGAGAAGACTAAGGAGATATTGATGGAAGAAAGCAATGTTCAGGTGTGCCATACCATCCCATTTAATCCTTGTTCAGCCCCACCTTTGTGCTTGCTAAATTCTTTAGCCTTTCTGACCTCATTTAATGGCCTATGGGACTGGATCTTTCAAAAAATTTGATGTACTACTTGAATTTCGCTTGCAATGGGTGTTTTGCAATGGTCAACATGTGTTCATTACCTACAAAGTACTATGTAAACATTGAAATGTTTTGTTCTTAAAAAAGTGGTAAAATATTGATGTTTTATTATGTTTCCTGTATCACAGCCTGTGAAAAGCCCTGTGACAATATGTGGCGATATTCATGGCCAGTTTCATGATCTTGCTGAACTTTTTCAAATTGGAGGGAAGCTATCAGTCCTGACTATGACCTTTTTATTCACTTCTTCTGTTTCAGCTGAGGGCATTTCCAAAATAATTAATTGAGATCTGAATGCTTTTGAAGATTGGATGGAGCTCTACTGAAGTATTTTAGTTGAGTAAATGATGCTGTAGGATGAATGTTTTAATTTATGCTCACTTGGATGCATTACCAATTTCCCACTACCACTTACAATGGTGAGAGTTCAGGTTTAGTAAACTTTTTCACTTCATATGTTGCCAACTTTCTATTGTTATAAAGTTTTCTCATGAGTAGAGTTTGGTTGGTGCCATTTTTTTCTTTTATTTTATTATCTGGTAACACAGAATCCATCAGAAACCAATCATATCTGTGTGTCTCTTATCTTTTCTACCACTCTAGGTGTCATGAATTCATTTTAATGTGTCCTCATGATTATTTGTTTTATTTTTTATGGGGCATTATTTTGTATTCCCTGTGAAAAATAATTTCCAATTTTTTTTACATTTTTCATTTTTACAGTGTCCAGATACCAATTACTTGTTTATGGGAGATTATGTGGATCGTGGATATTATTCAGTTGAAACTGTTACGGTATGTATATGTC